GGGGTGGGGGGCAAGTCGGCAGTAGAGCAGGGCGCGCCGGGCGCAGCGGTGGGGGCAGCGGCAGGGGTGCGCAACAGCGGGGAGCTACCCCCGCGCCATCCCTTTCAGTCTTGTTCGCGTCGCAGAACTGGCGAGGCGGCCCCCTTGCGCCGGGCCCCGACGTCGTGCCCCCAACCGCACCGCCCCCGCCGCGCCGCCGCTGTTTTGACAGATCGGATCGCCGCCGCCAGTGGCGCAGCGAGTGGAACGCGTGGGGCTTTGCTGGGTGCACCGGGAGGTGTCCGTCGGCACGTCGCACGTCCATGCCCCGACACATGCCGGGCCAGCGATGGTGACTCACACGGGCCGAACAGCCGAGCTCCCCGCCAGCAGACGGCACGGCACTCCACGCCTCAGCTCCGGCCCGGGCCCCGGGCCCGGCCAGGCGGGTGCGCCGGCGAGAACCTCCGGGACGAGGGCACCATCTGCGAGGGATGCTCGTCTGTCCACCAGGAGCATGGAGGTCCTCCATGAGGTGGTGCCGGACAAAGCAGCCGCCGCCGGCAGCCGATTCCTCCACGGACGAAGACGACGCCGAGGAGAACCGTCACAGCAAACATTTTTCCGTGAATTTCCCGGTAAATTTGGCGAAACTTCCCGATTTGCATTTTTTGGGGAAGTTCCCCAAAATTTCCGGAAAGCAAACGCTGCGCATGCGTAGAACACATAGAACAGATTGCCATTCAGCACCGGAGCGATGAGAGAGACGAAGATCAAATGATCAAATTAAAACTGCTCATTTCAAGTATGAAACGAAAACCTTTCGTGGGTTGGTTTTATGAACTTTCGTACTTAGTTATTTAGTAAAGATGTACTTGCATGTTCCAATATAGTATATTTTGAGTTGATGATAGAAATATTTTCATTCAGAGGAACAAAAATGAAATTAACTTGACCTACTGCCCAAACGCAAACTGATACTAACTCAGAAGGTTTTTGTTATGTTTTAAATCCTCCTTGAGATTTTAACCCCAGGACAGTCAATTTTGATGGGCCCTTCATTACAGAAATTTCTTTCAAAAACGAGGCAGAACAAGTTTTGCGTCTGGGTTTTGGATTTCGATTCATATTATGGTAATCTGAAACTCGGGACACAGGAAATATTTCCTTAAAGTAACCATGTCTGTGAAACCAATACTGTTTTTGTCACTTCAATGAGATAATAAACTACAGATGCAGGATGCAGGCAGTATGTAGATTGAAAACATCTTTCATTGTATGAAATTTAATCCCAACACAATAAATGCAGCAATAACAATGGACAATTGAACAGTAACAACATTGAATAAAAATTTAATTCTTAGACTCAACTTGAATCTGTCTGATAGAACCCACCAATGCTCGCACACTGGGAATAGGTTTCGCATTCAGACCATAAACGTATTCAAAGAAATTGAAGGAATTCTTCAATTGAGGGTGATAGTGAACATTGAAAACAAAATATAGTTTGAAGAAAATATCAAACGCCTTTGGAAAAGGGTCAATTAAAGGATCCGCCTCAACGTGAATGTAGTGACCATCAATGTTCAGGTAAATTTCTCCAAACAGATGATCATCTGAGAGCCATATCATGACGGGAGCTAATGTGGGTTGTTTGCTTTTGGACTTAGGAGGTGGCTCTGTAGGCAACAGCACATTCTTGTAGCCCTGTAAATCTGTGTTTGCCTGTAAAATTCAAAAATGTACAAGTATTAATAGAAGTAAAAGAATAAATAATTTACAGAAGAAATATTTGAACACTCACAGGAATTATTTGAACGATAGCTGCACAAGGCTTTTTCGCTAACCACACCTTGTTGTTAGTTTCATCATTCGTGAGAGATCTATCTTTAGACATTTTAACAGGGACAGTTGGAAGTACATCATAAATCAATTGCAGAGCCCGTAGTGTGTCTGAAACACATTAAGAAATAATATTAGCAACAAAGTAAACACTAAAACCTCCACAGGAGAGTTCTTTGTCTTGTACTTACCATATTGAAGGCAGCCACTCTCTTCATACAGTTTCTGTCTAGAGTTTTTTGAATGTTGTAAAACAGCAGAAACAATGTCAGAGAGATCAAAAGCTATAGAATTTGGATAAAGCCTTTGGAACTCTTCAGAAATCTGTGTGGAAAAGCATGTAAATTACTACTGACTTCAGGACAGAAATAAGTTCAACATAAGAAGACAAGAGTACTTCAAAGTTATAGGGATAATTCTTACCATGAGACCACCATAACTTGAAAAATGGATGAATTTTTCAAGAATTCGGGCACTTGTGTTTGCTGGAGGTTGATCCATCCATTTTCGTCGTTCCGAGTAGGTGCATTTCATTAATTGGCTGATGGCGTTTTTGCTCCCAGATGTGGCCTCCATCTTGTCCAACTTTTTGACCTGAGAAATAAAATTGAAATTAGATAACAAAACAAGATGTAATCGATTAGAGTTTATCCAGAAGGGACGTCCGTTTCCCGCAGATAAATAGTGCAGATTACAAGACCTGGCGCCTGCGATATTTGGGGTAGGCCAACCCGCAGCACACACAAGCACCACAGACAATATTTTGCCTACCCAACAGGCGCCGAGAGCTTGCACGCACACGGCTAAACCTGGCAATTTCGTAACAGAGAATAACGAACGTACTTTATGGATGAACCCTTAGTATAGGTGAAGAAAATTTTAACCTATAAATTGAACGCTATTTGGATTTTACAGAACGGAGCTTTTGTGAGCAACACACACGAACAATATGTCACTACAACAGTATACAAAGCAAGAAGTATCAATGATAAAAGAAACATGTCAGAAAAGGGATTGAAGTAATAAAAATTATAGAAAAATCTGTCAACAGTTTAGTTTGACAAATATAAACTGAGAAAAAAATGCGTGAGAATAAAACTTGGCTTACCATGCTTTCATAGTTCTCATGAGATTTGGCCTTTTTCAGATGGAGAATTTTCTTCTCCACAGGAGTCGGATGAGTCAAGAGTTGCCGAGGAATTACTGGACCCTTCAGATCTGTCATTGATCCTTGTACGTTTTTCTCCAGGCTTCAAATGTTTTACTCTCAAGTACTCCAACTTCTTTGCAAGAAATCCCTTGCAAGTTGTAGGATCATACCACGCAAGCTGTAACATCAGAGTACGTACAAAATTAGACCGAAAAGCAAAATTTAAAAAGTGAATGAAAGTTGATCCAAATGTCTTCCATAGAACAAATGTTCCATAGATACTACAGAACAGTACTCACATGGCCCTTGCCTTTCCCATCATCCGATAGGAGGGGGAAGTCCCTAATGATGCCTTTTGCCACTTTAACTTTGTCAATTGATGTGGGGTAACTGAAAATAAAATAAGTGTGTAATTAAGATGTTTAAGCAAAAATGCACGAGTCAACAGTATGTGAAACGTACTAGCTCTCACTAGTCCCTCCAGAGCTGCTGATCAGATAGTTTAAAAGAATGGAAAGCATGGTTTTCATAAAAGGTTTATCCGGCCAATGTTCACCTTTGAGGTGCTCAACTACTTCCGTTCCTGGTATTGTACTTAGCAAGATGGTTTTTACCTCCATGACTTCCTCTTAATAAAGATAAAAATTATAAGAAATTCAGATTAAATTTACATTTATCAAAACAAATCAAAACAAAACAACAAAGAGGAAAACGGAATAAAACTTACAGCGGGTGAACTGGAAGATGACTTAGATGGAGCAGCACTTTTGACAGTTTTCTTCACAGATGTACTAACCATTGGAACACCTTCGTTAGTTTCTAAAATGTCTGTTGTTTCCAAAGATTCCATAAATACAATTTCCACTGGTGAAACCGAAGGTGAAGAAGATTGTGACTGCAGAAAAAAAGGTATTGATGAACATCCTCATAATTAAAACAGAGTGCATAAGTGTTCTGTCTACCAAAATTTACCTCACCAAAAATGTGTGGAGGAGCCAGTTTGAACTGCTCAACTAAGTTGAGGACTTTCAGCCTCTCACCTGACTTGATAGTAGCAAAGTTTAAACGGAGATAGTCTTCGGTAAGCAGGAGAAAGGCCCCTCCATCCACATCCTCCTCTGCAACAAAAGAAAACAAAAAAAGAATTAATAACTTGTCCATAAAATTCATAGTATGTCCAGTAACTATGAGGATGCCTAGCCCAATTAATTCATTTTCAAGGTAAACATTGATTGGAATATCTAAATTAATAAAATTCTATTACTGAATTTGCCTTCATTTGAAACGAGACAAGACTTAAGGCGGTTTTGAATATTTTCAGGAGAACGCGCAGTAGATGGAAGATCCCAACAGAAATTTTAAACTTTCTTGTTTAGGTATTCTGAACATAGCACGAGTGAGACAGAAACATCCGTACCTTCCAAAACTTGTCACAAAACAACATGTCGCAGACATATATAGTTGTTTTGAGTTGAATTTTCATGCCATACTGCCAGAGGTGGATGAAGTGGTAGATCAACTGGATCAAGCAGATGACAGACAACATTTTCAGGGCGAGAAATTATTAAAGAATTGAAAGTTTCAGATTCAATCTCGGTCCTCCATTCCTCTATCTCGTACCAAATATTTGCATGCATCATCATTGGCTGAAATATTCCTTAAAATTTTCCCAAAAGCCTCCATTTCATTGCGGTTTTGAGAAGCCACACGAAGGATCACTAAGTCGTTGACACAAAACTCTCTTGCCAACACAGCAACTGTCTGTACAGTATGAACTAAATCATTTTCATCGAACCCCCCTCTCAATTAATAGTGCTCTTGTGTAGCAGTTGTTCACAGCCAATGGGGTCTTCTTAGAAAGAACAATAGGGGGCACAACATGGGGGAGATTGGACCCCCAATGACGAGCTTGAGATATCTGACCGTATTCGGATGCAGTTTTAGTGACAGACCTATACAAGTTGCAAGTTGTTATGTGTCGTTTTAATGGGCGATGTTTCCCCTCCTGCCTCATACAGTTGAATTGTTCTGCAGGACCCATTTCTAGAATCATTTCAGGATAATGCTCAAGATGGTGATGCTTATTTATGGGGTTGACTCCTGGGAAAAGATGTTCAAGCAAACGCCTATGAATTTCAATAAAGCGTTGTAAATGTGGAATAATAGTCCTGCTGAGCTTCGGGGCTTTAACAATTTGAACTATTTTTTGTAGTACAATTAGGAGCTCCATATGTTCCCTATCATCTCTTGGGATACCGATATTATCAAGAACAAATGGGAGGACCCTTAAGGGGCAAAATACTTGTGAACTTGTTTGAGATAATTTATAGGACCTCTGGTTGACAGTAAGCAGGCTTTCAGCACTGAAACTACTGGAGGGCTTATGGCATCTATCAGGCCTCCCATACGAGAAATGTTTCAATCTATTATTCAATTCCGCAGCAGTAAAGTAACGCCTGGTAGAAACATAATAACTTAGAACTACCGTAGTTTTATCTCCATCTCCCCAATTCCATGAGCTATGTCATGCTTGACTCATTCTGGTCATGCCCTTGTCCGAGGTGTGCCATGTTACCACTGACCTTCAAGAATCTGAAGTGTAGGAAGTTTTAGCACATTCAGTGCTTCGAGGTATTCCTTAAGAACAGACGCAGAGCAGGATCCTCTAGTTGAAGTGTCCATTACTCTCAGGCTGCACAGCTATACCTGCAAAAAAACAAGTCGGTAAGAGAGTGCCAATTCATCAAGAAGAAACCAATTTACAAACATAACAATTCAAATAAATGATGCAATATTTTAATAAATTCCTGATGAATCTAAAAATGTTCAGTATAAAGAACATTATCCCACAAAATAAAATTTATAAGACATTATGACATTATAAGACATTATAAACATAAAGAACATCTAAATCCTATCAATAATCAACATACTAATTCACTAAGAATACTGGGGGACTGACTCTGACCCCTTCCCCTTTAGTACAAAGTTCCCACAAAATATCTTCTACTAGTACTAACCTTACAAGAGAATAGAGAGACGGAAAATATTTTCGATGAGCCTTGATGTGTATGCAGAGCAGGGCTTGTCAGGTCCATGAACGTGCAGCTTTGCCTGCAAAAGTAGAATGTTAAAACAAATCAATTCATTGGGTACGATAACTAGCTCACAACACCTCTAGTGGAACTCACAGACGTAAACAGACAGACATCAGTTTGTATGAATAAGTTCAATCTAGAGCTTTTGCGAAACAGAAAGGCATGCTAATAAAAAGATCATTACGCATTCTTTTAACATGTGGATGAATTCAATGACTGATAGCATGCAAATGAGGTTGGGGGCATTCCAGTACTTAAAACATACATAAATATGACAAAAACAGAACAAAAATATGCCATAAACCCACCTATACCACAAGCAATTAATTTAGAAAACAGAAGTCTGATTGTTTTCATTAGTAGACGTGACACAATTAAAGATTACAGCTTTACGGATAAAAGGTTCCAAATGATTTGAAAAGTAACAGTTGATGTGTCTACTCACAATAAATTAAAATACGTTGGATAAGTCACACAAACAGAATCGACTAGTTGTGATCAATAATACTTCTGTACACTAAATGTTACCACATATTCATTTCATACAAACCAAAGGGAAAAAATAAGACCTGACAGCCAATAGACATGGAGTTGGTACTGGTGTTTTCAATAACCACTTATCAGCAGTGCTCAGTGTATTCATCTCTAGGAAGTTTTCACCAAGTAACTGGGTACACAATTATTCACAGTTTTTGATCTTGGCCTATTACTGAACAAAATAAAACAAAAACTGAAGATAGGACTATTGCTACTGCAAGATACTAGCTAGAGGTCATTCTTCCGTTATACTTACCCTATTTAAACACTGAAGAAGTGAAATAGCCATGGATGTATATCAACTCAATGTGGGCAAAGACTAATTGAAATGCACTATGCAATTGATCGCAGGAAAATCATTGCACCAATGGACAGCACTGCATCCAACAATATGGTAACCTGATTGTAAAGAAAACAACATTAAAATATGTTTCTGCAACACTTTGGAATAAAATGCATATTCTAACCTACAAACATCCCTGTAAGAATGTCCTTGTAGTTATTATCAATTCAGCATGGTTTCTGAGTCCAGTCCACTTCAAAAATGGTGCATGATTTGTCCGAACACCTGCAGGGAGGTCTGCTACTAGGACTCAACTAGCAGCTTGCACTTAACCTTCTGGAACACACAAACAGAACATTAGCAACATTTCAAAAGAAATTATGTTTGATTCAAAGATATATATTTTTACTTACTTTCATTACAATGCATTTGGGTATCACACAGCTTTTACCACTGGGTCTAATTTCCATGTCTAGTCAGCTTGAAAAGTATCGAACATTGACGGTTGGGTCAGCATAAGAGTCCATGTCACCTATTAACAAACATAAAATACATTACAAGGGAGTAAGTGTAGCAACAATTTGGAACAAAACATGTCAAATTTAAAATTATGGTTGAAGATTCAGAAACTGAACTGTACTGATTGTTAATACAACATCACACTGCAATAAGTAAACTTTTCAAGTCTACTATCTTGCTCACATCGTCCAATGGCGAAAACAAATGTTCACCAACATTACAGACTCTAATAGATGTTCAAACCATGACGCTGTGGCTAATAAACCATATTAATGGCTACAAAAATACCACAACCATGGGCAACACTAACCTCAATCGATGAGCACTGCCAATGTCTAGAATCACTTTGGTTGTCACACAGATTTGATGCCGGTCGATCAGAGACCAAAAATCCTGGGTTTCGCCGATGCAGCTCAAACATTTTCAGAAAACTGTTAATTAAATCGGGACACCTTTGGAAATGGTACCCAAACCCAAAACAACACACTCGTGTTAGTTCCATGTAAGTGGCCTGGGAAATAAAATTGTGACGTCAGGAACATGACTTCCCCCGGGTGCTGTTCCCGTCCACGCCCCACCGCAAGAGGCCGCACAGCTCTGCGCTGTCGCTCACGCCACTCTGGCAGCAGGTCATCAAGTACCACCACCGCCTGCCCGCGTCCCTCGACAAGGACCGCGTCTTTGCCGAGGTGGCGGCCCGGCTGCACGACCCGGCCCGGAGTGGGAGGTGCGGCAGCACGCTCTGCGCGTGCTCGTGGACCTCATCGCCGTGCTCGTGTCGTCGGGCGTCGCGGCCGAGACCATCGCCAACCTCGGGCACGCGGCGCCCGCCGTGCGACAGACCGCCACCGAGGCCCTGGCTACGCAGCTCCGGAGGACGTCCGACCCCGAGGGCGTGCTGCGCGCCGTGGTGGAGCAGGGCCTGGAGGGCCAGCAACAAGGTCAGGGGCCGCTCGGCACAATCCTTGCTCTGCCGGGGCTGCTGTCCCGCGCCATGCACGCGCACCCGGGGTGGACGCCTACCCCGCAGGGCGTGGCGCACCTGGTGGGCGCGCTCGCGGGCCGCCTGGTGCAGGTCACGTACCAGCCGCACGCCCAAGTGTACGAGAGGTCCAACGAGCAGCACGACGACGAGCAGGGCGTCGACTGGAACGGCAACGAGCACGCCGACAAGGGCGACTTCTCCAGCGGGGAGTCCACCACCGGAGCGGACGTGGCCGTGAATGTGGTGGCCGTGCAGCAGGCCGACGTTGCGCCGCCGGGGAGGGTCGTCATGGAGACCGAGATAAAGTTTGATGCGGACACGGCAATCACCTCGAGCTCCACGTGTCCACTTGAAGATGCTTGTTTACCTCCCCCCCTCCCCCTCCATTTTCCTCCAAATTGCAGAGCCCCACCCCAGCCGAGCCCAGTCCGAGCCTGCAGCCTGCACTCAACGCCCCCGCCCGCCCCCCGCTCCCTGCAGTCGGTGCACGCGGCTAAGGGAAGCAGAGCAGCACACAGAGGCTGCTCCTCCGGGGCGACGGGATTTCCCATAC